CTTACATCCAGATGTATGGCTAATCTGTTAATTCATTCGGTTGAATAAAGTACCCTAATCCCCCCCGCACATATTCCCGTTTTCTTATCAACCGCATTTGTACTGGCAATAAGGGAATGGGGGCGGGGCTACAGTGTAAGCAATGATTTTGATAGAACGGACCGGACCCTGGGCTAAAGAAAACCAGGAGGGGTCCCAAGGGGAAGGTTCTGGAAGGACTAGGTCAGACAGCAATTCACGAGCACCATTCCGCATCTGTACCGGGGCCTTGCTTTGTCGCCCTCTTTTCTCCCATCACTGCCACTAAATTTCGGCGCTTTTGCTGCCAATTTCGGTTAATCTATTTTTATTAATGCCGCCCGATATCAGAGCGGAAGGCTCAGCTGCCTTGCAGACTTCGGCGAGGGCTGCGAGCATCCACAACAGATTGAGGAGAGGAGATTAAAAATAAATCAGACGGAATCCCATTGAGTTGGCGAAAACGAGAGAAAAAAAACACACACACACTACATGTGAACCAAAACTGCATTTATAATAATAAAACGTATTTCATTACATAAAGAGGCTACATCCATCATTTATGACCATACCTAAACTCCCAGGACAGCATTATACTATTTAAAAGCTCTTATTTCTAGATACCTTGTTGCCCCATTCAGTGTTAACTATGGAATTCAAACACAAGCCGAACTGTACAGTACCACAGCAGACTATTAATAAATCATAAATTTAAATTTAGCACACAGAAACAAAGGCAAGTTGCATTATAGTGCGGAGCCAGAGCTAGTGCTCTGTGATAACGTAGCAAGAAATATGTTCAAACTGATCGATTTATCTGCAGCCGGAGAACAAAATGTTAAAGGGCCAGCGCGCCGCCGATTGCATGACGACATGACAGTGTATAGGACTGACATTTCTGGCAGGAAGCATGTTCCAGCATAGTGGAAGTGGCTTCGTCCTTTGGAGGAATCGGTGCGGTAAAGCGGCACAGTGACACTAATGGTCCAAAGGGGTGTTATCGTCCCCAAATTTTGTACCCCTAGGCACAGAAGCACAAAGAATTATGGAGAAGGCTGAAAATTATGCTACCACAAGCTACCACTATAGACAAAATGCAAGTACAGAATACTCAACATAAGCCCACTGGCTAGCAAAAAAAAAATTGCACCGGACACGACAGGGGTAAAAAAAAAAATTTTAAATTGCATGCTGGACTGCATTTTTTACTGAACTGGTTCAATTGGCTAGTAGCAAAAATTCTACCCATGTTGTCATTAAATGCTTGTAGGACACAACAATTGCTCAGGAGCAAATTATTTTTTGGAAAATGAATGTTACTGGGCTCCAACTCAGATGCCTCTAGAAGGGACAGCAGATGATTGGGTAGAGAAGGGTAGCACAGCTGAACATAAGCTGTGAGATTTTGCAGGCTTCAGTCTGAAGGAGCATGATCTCTCTTCTCACTCCTCCCAAGCTTCATCTCTCCCCTCACGTCACGTGACTCCACTGTGGGTACCTTTCTCCATCACGCTAAGCTAACGTCAAGCACAGACTTGCCCCAGAAGACACGATCCAATGAGCTTCCTAGCCCAAGGACCTGCCAGACATGCACTAATGAACCCCTTCGACATCACTCAGAGGTCCCCATGCAGCCTTGCTGATTCTACCGAACGAGGCTGCAATTTCAGATACATAATTTACATATTAACAAGATGAATTTATGATATTTACTTCTGCACTGTTCATATACTGGACTGCTGGTTCCAGACTCACCATGACCCCATACCAGAGAAGTGGTTATGGAAGCCAATTTTCAAATGCAAATATATATATATATATATATATATATATATATATATATATATATATATATATATATAGCCAGAAATTCTTCCAGAAATGAAAAAAGGAAATCATTGTTCTGCTTATTTCCTAGGATAAATGTGTGCCTGTTGTTTACATGAAATGACTGTCTTCATTCCAGCTTCTCTCCACAATGAAATCATCTGAAGATCAGGGTTTTTGAAGTACTTTCTCTATTCAGCTGTGATGATCGCGCTTTCAAAAAAGAAACAGAGGCGACAGAGCAAGTGACATTGGATGGGGGACACATCTGTCTTCTGAACCATGCTGGTGTTGGATCCTTTCCAGATCCTTCTCAATGTTTCCAAGTGTCATCCCACGTCTAGGTGTACGTTTGCGTTACACACTGATTGGACGAGCCATCAAGAGATATAATCACGACCTGTCTTTAGTAACCCCCCCAGGAGGGACTATTCATAAGACCTGTCTGAATGACCTATAAACAAACATCCGATTCGGATCGATACACCGCGTGGCCAACGCCCCCTTCCTCGATCCACCCACCGTAAATCTCCAAAGGCCCCTTCCTTTCACGTAAATTCATCGATGATCCATGAGCCGTGAAACAAACCACGGTAAAGAATACCAACAGTACCTAAAAATAGACCGAACTGGGGGGTTCATTTTTTCCAGCCGTTTATTACTAAAGAATTGATTTATCTAATTGCCTTGCTAAGGTCGAACTGGTGGGATCTGAACCAGCAGGGCAAATGTACGTTTGTATCACTTGGAACAAGACTTCCACCTCAAGCGATGCTGAGGAGAGGGGAGTTTGGATGATTTCTGTCATTTGACACCGTGCCCATTCCTTCTCGTTTGCATTTCAAATTAGCTTACAGCGCATCAATTGGAACTGCTCGGGATGAAATTGGAAGCAGTTCCTTGATATGAAGCTTTTAAAAAATCATAGGGTCCTGCACTTAGGAAGATTACGTTTCCGGGCGACGAGAAAATCCCCAGGCACGACCAGCATGTTTTGTTTTGTTTTTTTTTTTTTAGTTGGTTCTACCTGGTAAAACATACGTAATGTGGGAGCTGTACATTCTGCCAAGCTAAGCCGGACTTCTGGCTGCGGGCCAGGTCCTGGAGGGTCTACCGAAGGTTCCCGAGTCCTTTGCGGGGGTGAAGGGGGCTCAAGAGTTAAACGCATTCTGTGAGCGACCGTAGCATGATAACACAAGTACCCGACTGTAAAGTGCACGGGCTTATATAGGAGCATTCAGGACAGCGTTATAAATATCAGCCATCTGCGATACCATCTGCACCAGGGCATTATACAGTAAGGCCAGGTCTCCCGAAACCTGGGCAGGTTCGCCTCTGTGTCAGGATTTGCCCCCGTTTGAGCAGGATGACTTGCCTCACGTCGTACCTTAAGGCGGCCGCCACCCACTTAAAGTGGACCGTGTAGTCTTTAAGACTTCATCGTCCGATGTTACTTTCATGTGCAGGTGATATAGTGACATTCTTACTTGCCTGCTTGCTGCAGACCACGGTTCCAAATAAATACAAGTCGTGCAGAGACTGACTAAATAATAGAAAAAACTAATGTCAGGCAAACAGCTGTATACATGTGGAAAATGCAGATCGGGAACATCTGAGTGTGGTGTGTCACAGGGACCGCAAGCATTAACGTAACATCTTTTTGGGAAATCTGAGTTCCTGAGAGAGAGAGAGAGAGAGAGAGAGAGAAAGAGATGCTATTTGCCCTCCTTCCCAGCCTCGCGTACAGCCAGTCTGCATTCATTCAGTGGCGGTGCTGCACCCCGATTGCTGCAAAAAGCATGTTCCCATAATCAGTCACATTCTGACAGGTCGTCGCGTGTTATTGTCGCCACGTTAATCGGGAACAAACAAACAAAAAAAAAACCCTGGGGATCTGCACTCGTTTGCTTAAGAGCAGAAAGATTCGTGTGTATCATCTCATTGATTTAAGTTAGGGATTTAATAAAAGATTACTTGCATAAGTGAATAATTGCATAGAGAGCTTTAATAACAGCAGCAAACTAAGCTGGCCTGAATTGTGATCTGGTCGGATGTTTTAAAATTAGAGACTTTGTTCATCTGTGACGTTATTGAGCATCGTCAGCTAGACAAATATGGTATAGCGGCTCGACATGGTTATGCATGATCTGCTACATACCCTGTTTTTACTAAAACTCTTCATTACCACGCTATTGATGCCACTGTAGCTTCTAATAGATCGTGCTTTTCTAACGGTGGGGTAAATCTCCGCCTCCTTTCGGTAAATTATGTTAGGGGCAACCGCAACAATTAAGGTGATTTGAAGCTTCTATTACTGCATGCTTGGCAAGGTTAGGCTTATTGCAGCCTGCAGTTGCATACTCTGCCGCTGTTTGTCGGTTGTAAAAGATTAAAACAGCCATTCCAGACATCTAAGTGTGTACTAGGTAGGAGCGTCGCCCCAAAGAAAGTTTATTGCTCTACATATTCATAAGTCCTGAAACCGTAGGAATCTCGAAAGGTAGATGGTTATACGTGCTGACTTTGTTCTTCACACATTCTTCGCTTACAATGAAAGTGTAAATCTCATGTGTGTCGCGTTTGTACTTTATCATTCATTGTATCATCTGACGATTTTCGCACTATTTTGTGTTGGCAGCGGCATAGATCTATAAGACTCCTTCTGCTTTACTTTAAAAAGAAAACTGTAATGGAAAAGTCATGATGGTACCAAATTAACTCAATTTGCTTTCAGTGAGAAGAATCTTTTTCTTAAATGTATTTATTATTTGTTATTAATATTAGCATTACTAGCAAAACTACAGCTGTGTAATGTTTGTCAACTCTGGTCCCCAGTGTCTGTACTGTCCATCCATCCATCCATTTACTTCCGCTTATCCGAGGTCGGGTCGTGTTACACACGCAAACCACCTTGTATCCAGTCGTAGCCTCCGGCAACAAGCTAAAGAGTCAGATCTATGGTAATAAATAAGTAAAATATTATTCTTAAAGTGATGTTTAAAACTTACTAAAGTATTATCACTACTACTTATTACTACGCCCATTATTATCACTGCCATTGTCGTGTATTTCTGTGCCGTGAATAGGCTATATTATTCATTACATCACCGCATTACGTGCGCAGCCATAAAACGATGTCATAAAACGAAGTAAAGGCAGTACTGTCGCTCGTTGGCGTGGCAGGTTACTGCATTGGGCTCTGTTTTCGAGGAAGAGCTTTCCGGAGCTTACAATATAACACGCTGTTGGGTATGCTTTCTCATAGCTCGGCTATTTTACTTGTCTATCTTCGAGAAATAATCACGGCCAATAACAACGTTTTTTTTTTGCTATCTGAGATCGTCGCAGGCTAGAACCGACGTCCTTGCGCCCCGTTGCCTGGCTCATATTAAAACGTGGTCGCTCTTGTTATCCCTGTAAGGAAATGTGAACACTTCAGACTCTAGAGGTCTCCATCCTTCAGCATCCACCTATCTCACTCGTCTCATTGTGTGCAAGGAGTGGAGAAAGAGAGATCGGAGCCCAGAGGCACCTAAATCATGCATCCTCGGTGAAAAGAGGCGAAACTCCCATCTGCCGGGCGTTTGAAATGAACCGATCGCAACGAGACGCCACTTTTCTCCATGAGGGCTCGGTCGCTCCAATTGTGTGAGATATGCAAGTTGGGGACCCAGTTAAATATAGAGGTGTATGTCATTTATTCCGAAATTTCTTCTGGACTTTTCCTGTGTGACTGTACCTTTTGGTGACTCAAATGATTAGTAAGGAAGGCAGAATAGCTTCTTTTTAGATCTCCAGTGCTGGATTTTCAGTAAATCTCCGTGTCACGATGCCTGCAAGAATCCGATCGCTGTTTCTAGGTAAGTTCACTCCGCATGAAGCGGATAAAGGGGAAACAAACTTTCTATTGTTTCGCGTAACGGATTTCGCAAGCAGGTATTTAATTATGTACGAAATATCTGTACATTAGCTTGTGTATTTTGTAGCTCTTTTTCTGATTGCAGAAATGTTATATTTTAAATCTTCACCATCATAGTGTTGGTTCGTTTTAAACGAGAGACCACTAGCCTGCTGTCATTCACGAAGACAAAAATTCAGTTTTTAAAAAAGCGATTAAGTGATTAAAAGATGACGTTATATGAAATAATATTTAATTCTGCTCCCGGCGTAAGGCAACCTCCGTTTTCAAAAATAAATTCATATATAGTAAGCTACGAAAGTTACTCCATTAGAAACAAACCTCTTCCAACAGGCGTCTGTAAAGCAAATTGAAAACAGATGCTGGATGTGTCCGTATGTGCCCAGAACAGGGACAAACGGATGTTGATTGCAGTTCACGGAGAAGAAATTAATTAGTTATTAATTGGCAGCGTAAACGTTGTCTTTTCATTATATTTCTTTTGTTCATTCTTAGGTGTGTGCGAAGTATGGTGGTGTTTTTTTTTTTTTTTGTATATCACACAAGAAAAGGAATATGAATAAACTACTTGCTTTAACTTGACACAGAATAGCAAAATACTAATCGGAATTATGGAGTTATTCAGTGCTGCAGGGGGGAGCCGGTAGGGTCGGGGTCCGAACATAAAGGTAGACGGATAAAAGGTTTACGCTTTCGCAGTTTAACTCCAGATTGCTTTCCTTAAGCGTTATTTTTCTGCATGGTCGTCTTTGTAGTTTGCTGTGAGTGCCCGGATTTTTAAACTGACATATTATAATCACTGCACCAAACTTTGCGATGGTGTCTACGACGTGTAGCCTACATGAAGGGGTTCAAAATGCCGTGTTGTGACCTTCTTCCACACTGTCCACGACGTGCTCTAAAAGCTGAGATCCATATAACCAACTTATTTTTAGATTTCTTAAATTTCCTTTTTTTATTCTCGCTCTATCATTGGAGAGGGTCAGCAGCCCTGAAGTAAAACAAGAAATGGGCACAGATTTATTTCCATTATTTTCTTATGGGGAGCCCTGCGGGAAATGAAGACATCCATCTTGGTGCGCGTTAAAGTGTACACCGCGTGAGTAGTTTTGGGTTTGGAGCCCTTGGTGTTCAGCATTTGCTGTGCTGGCTGACGGAGGACCCAGGATGCTCCAGAAACCCGCATATTTCATGGGAGCTCGCGATCGTAAATGGCCTGGCAGCGTGGGGGCTCCATCTTTACAACCACACCGGGGTCCGGAGCTGACATGAACCTGAACATGACCGTAATAAGCTAGCCAACAAACAGAAGTGAATCATCATTTTAATGGCATTCGGTTTTCTTCGAAGTGCATCTAACATTTGCCTAATGGTCTTAATGTGTCAATATTTTAACTGGGCCATAAGTTAATGTGATTTTTCAGAATTATGCCAGGCTGTAGGTTTATTCTAATTTCGAACAAAACAATCTGATCAACATGATATATTTTAGCTCATTGAGTTTAATACATTGCTCGGCCCATTGTCGTGGCAATGCCAGAAATACTTTCACAACATGCAAAAAGTTCTATCACTTGTACGACAGAGCAAAAATGATTTAGGCTCAATTTAACATGGATCCGCGCCACGCATAACGTAGCATCATCTTTTTATTTAAGGAAAAAAAGCGATCAATTACTGCCATTTCCTCTTCGTTTCTTTAAAGACTCGGGAAGTCTCTAGCCGTCCACATTTCCATATTTCCGAGAGGAGAAAAAAATTATACTCAGCGCTCACATTACAAATGAGCGAGGCAATTAGGCATTGTCAGGTACTTCAGCCGCCTTCCGATTCCGCGACGACCGCGGGCGCGTTCGCCGTGGCCCCGGAGCGCCGCTTGCTAAATGCTGCTCCTGATGAATAGTCCTCGGCTTCATTGCTTGAGCGATGAGGTTGAATTGCAATAAAAATTGTGAATCACTCTCCAGGAAATCATGAGGGTACTGTAACCCCCTGAGCCTGGGGGTGGGGCTCCTCGTGAAATAGTGCATCTCTGGTCTCATTAGGTTATTGGATTTAGCTCAGGAATGTTATGACCACCATGAGACTGGGTGTCCTTTTATTGACAAATTGCGTTTCTCTGTGTGTCTCCCACACGTGCTTTTATTTCATACTAATTCTCTTCATTTGATAATGTATTTTTTTTTTGGTGCTGGGGGGGGGGGTTCCCTATCTATAGGCCCTTTAAGACAGTATACAGGTGCTTTTAAATTGTCCATCATGTGACAGGAGGCCCCAGATGCAAAGACTGCCGTACGGCTAACGAAAACGAGCATGCGCCCGCTGGCATGCAGACACCAGCGTTCAGAGACGTCCCTGTAGGTTACCTAACAGCGGCTCGGTAAACAAAGCAGCGGGCCGGTGCCTGGTGCCGTCCGAGACGGCTTCACCGTCGCCCACCTGATGGCCAGACTGCCCTGATCGCACTAACGAGGTTTGTCGTCTACGTTGGCAGGCCGAGTGCTCGCAGATGTTCCCCTTATTTTATAGCTCGGGATAATCCTCCTTGGCTTTTATAGCAGTTTTATAGTCTCATTTATTTATTTATAACTCAATTGTCGCTGGATCAAGAACAACAGATTTTTCGTAATCGGTGGGCTTATGCATAATGAAGTGTATTATGTGTAAACTTAAGGTCCATATGCCACATAAAGGGGAAAGACTGACGTTTGACGTTAATTTGCAGTTTACATTTTTACCTTTTCTTTCCAAATAAAACGATTTTGCCTTACTCAGAAAGGCGTGTTTTCAAGTTACATTCCTTTTCTCGGTTCAGTGTTTGAACAGTCGGACATAAATGGAGTATCTGTGTAAACACTAAGTGGATCCAAGCATTTGTCTTTCCGGGCCGCTCTGACACTTGGGGCGGATACTTTTTGGGTTGATTTGGAGTCGTTAGGCCTGACCACAGCATTTAAAGAGGTTGGGGTGAGCGGCCGGACGGTAATTTGGAAATTCCTGTGGGTGCGATCAGAGTGCTTAGTTGAAGCTTTGCTGCCTACTCCTACAAAACAAACAAAACTCCAAACTCTTACAAAACAAAAAGTCAGGAGGTTAAGCTCCTGTGATTAACCTTGTATCTTGGCGGTAGTGTCCAGTAAGTCCTTAAAGAGCCTAAGCAGAGTCCTTCAAGGAGAAAACTCTATTGGTTATTTTAGACTTCAGTGTCTGTGATTGGAAGGTTGTTGGTTCAAGTCCCTTGGTTGGCATTGTGACTTCATTGTTGGGCCCCAGAGCAAGGCCCATAATCCCAATTTCTTCAGAGAGTGTTTGACCATACATTTTCAGTTATATGTCACTTTTGGGGGAAAAAAGTGTCTGTTTAGTTAATGTAAGAGAGGCTGATGGGAAATTAGTCAAATTAATGGTCATTAAGTAGGATGAATCTACTGGGCTGTCGATGTCTGGAAATGCTTATATCAGAGGGGTAAGTACTGGCCTGGCTTATGCCTGGGCCCATTCTCTGAGCGGACTGTTCACGGCAGGTTCTGCCATTCACTCACGGCTACAGCAAATAGGGGCTATAGGCCGTCCCTGCATCAGGTCACCATATGAACTGCAATCTTCTCGGGGCAGGAGACTTAATGTGGAGGACGCTGCACACGGCCCCTTAGCCAGCGGGGCGGCGGGATGCATCAGCCGGCACACAAAGAAATCATAGTGACCCCCCCCCCTTCCTCTAGTCTGTTCCTGACCTGTGTCATCCTATCCCAATCACTGCCCCCCCCCAGAGCTGAGCAGCAGGACATTTCGTGCCCTTGCTGTCTCTGCAGACCGATGTCACGAATCCCTTGGCTGGCACTCTGACTTTCCCACTGTCTTATGTCGGCTTAAACCGAGGCGGGACTGGCGGTGACATTTCCAACACTATTCCTCACTGTTTATACTCGATTAATCGCATTTCCATAACGCACTGATGTGAGGAAAGGCCCCTAGAAGTGTCGGCTTTTACCGTGCCCTTTGATTTATGAACAAGCCCTTGGAAAAAAAAGGGCCCTTTTCATACTTGACCTCACTCTCACCTCAAACTATTTCTGCCATGAAAAGAAGAGTGTATTTATTAAAAAAAAAAAAAAAAAAAAAACAGAATGAACCAGTATGGAGTGAAAGTCAGCTCAGAGAACAGAAACGGAATATTTTGGCATCCCCTGTTGGTTTTCTTGGCATTATTTTGTTCCTTACCTGCCAGAACTTTTCAGTCGCGCTTTTCAGACACAAATATAAATCCCCTGGTAAGAATAGACATCAGAGTGAAGTTTATTTAAACATTCGGTTTTTAGCTTGCGCGGGTGTTGAGGAAATTTGAGAATGTGTTCTTCTTTGCATCCGTTTTATCCTCTCAGGTGTTGTGCCAACTTGATCCTTGTGTGGGGCTTTGAAACACAGCACACCTGGTTCTCAGCGACACCGCTGACCACGCGCTGTGCCCTCGTTACCCGGACCCCCGCCTGCACGCCCCCACCCGAGCCGTGACTCATTAAATCACTCCCAGATTGTTGTGGAACAGGAACTGCCTATTTTACTTTGCACTTAACCTTTGACAGATGTGCTGCAGCGGTTTGGCTTCAGCGGCGATTAAAACCACATGCGCCGCATGTTTTCGTTGTTTAAGATTCACAATACTTCTTTAAAAGTTATTTGTCATGCATAGATGACTCCCCTTACCCCATCATGGGTTTTATGAACTACAGTTCAGCACTTGCACTTCTCACAGGATTTTATAAAGCTGTTATTGTTACTATCCAAGGGAGTGGTCGCCTCGTATTGATTGCTGCAATATCTGAGCGAGGCGTGAAAGCTAACAGAAGATACCTAATGACTTATTTCCCAGAATACTCTGCAACAGGGCTCTGTCTCACTATGACGTGAATTTTTCCAATGGGCGTTTGTTCATGAGGAATC